ATATTATCATAATAATGAGAATTAGGCAGAGATGTTTAATTGTCATGAAAATACAATAAAGTCCTAAAATGGGCATCATTTTCTTAATGCAAACTGTATTGTTTTTCTTTTGATTTTGGTGTAAAACATGAGCTGCTCTTGACCGGTTTGGTGAGATTCTGCCGTATAGATGTTAAACTGCTGTGTGAATGAGGCGTCTCTCGTTCCCATACACACCCTTCACTCATTCACGGGCGAATCTCATGCAAACGTGTTCCACCCCAAAATCACAAGAAATGATGATTGCATAAAGAAGATGAAGCCTGTTTCAGGACCATTATAATTATTTTGCATTGCGACATTATTTTCATGTTACAAAAATGTTTATATCTCCAATTCTCATTCCTGTAATGCACAAAAAAGTCCCATTCTCATTACTGTAATGTCCAAACATCAGCAAATCAGCATTAATTAAAGGTTGTAAAACAGTAGAGAGCTCACAAAGCATGCACATTGCATGGTCTTAATGGTCTTTAATCAAAATATATTTTCTTATTTTATATTTGATTCTGTGGTGAAATATAATCCAGTCATGTTCTTCTGTAGACTTAAAAATTAGATACCATCATATTTTTTTGCATTACAGTAATGCATTACAGTAATTCTATTTTCATTGTCATGAAAACAGAATTTTAAAAATTGTCCTTAAAATAGTCATAATTTTCTTCAAGCAAAATATGTAAAGTATATTCTTATTTATTAATTTATTTTTAATAAAAAACAACATCTATGTTCTTTAAAAATGAGATCAATCACATCTTAGTGAGAATTTAGGGGAAAATGTGTTTAATTTTCTTGAAAATACAATTGAAAAAAAAGCCCTTTTTTAGTTTTATATTTTTTTGTTTTCATTTTAATTTTACATTTTTAGTAAATTTGTTTATTGATTTTGTCATTTTTATAATTTTTTAAATATGTCTGTATAGTTTTCAAGCTAAACTAAATGAAAATAAGAAATGTTGAGAACTAGCTGAAATATTTACACTAAATATTTTATTAAATATTTTGAGATGCCATTATTATTTTTAATATTTGAATTCATTTTCATTTTAAAGTTTTTTTTTTTAAGAAAAAAAAATTTTTTTATTAATTTTTATTTTAGTTTATTTAATGTTTCATGCAACTGAAAACAAATTAATTGCATTAAATCATAGATTAAGCGATAATCCCCTCAGAGTGACCCGGGGAGTTGCCCATCCTGTTACCCAGAGATCAGTGCAGCGTCCCTGGGGAGGAGCGCTGGGCGAGTCCCTGGATTAGGCCTCAAAATCACCCATTTCCATAATTACACTTTATTAATTGATATATTGGATGATGGTGATTCCAGAGTGTTTAGTGTGTGTGAGAGCATGTTTACATGTTTACTGACGGCCAGCTGTTTGGGATTTTTGTATTTTAAGAAGGGGAAAAAAACTGTATGGTAAAAGAGCCGCTATAGCGAGCATCAGAGCTTATATAATGTGAATTCATTCATTGATCCCTTTAAGCTCACAGTAACATGTCGTAACGCAGTCTACTAAGAAACATGCTTTTAACCCAAAAACCCCTGATTTTTCCTTTTAGCCAGACATATAGATGCATAACTTTTTGCTTTGTGTTAGTCCCACCAAAAAACATGGTTGCTTTTTACTTTATATCACGTGCATTAAATATAATAATGCAAAAAAAAATTTTGTATTAAATATATTATTAATAATATTATTTAAAAATAAAATATACTGTTGTAATATATATATTTTTTATGTTTTCATATTTTTTCCTGTTTGAGAAGTGTGCAAGATAAAAATTAGCGTGTGCCCAATCATAGTATGCTAAAAATCCCCATATATGATATTATACTTTCAGATATATAATTATATAAACATACGTATAATATTGACAGTAAAAACATACTTTTTCAATTATTTTTGCTGTTTGTTTGCCCCACCAGCACTTACAATGCATTGTTGCTTTTAATGGAAAGAAAAGAACTAGTTACTTTTAATTACTTTGCATTAAATAAAATAACACTTGCTCATTATTTTTCATGGATTTTCAAACGATGCATTCATGCATGCTTATTATTGTCCACAAACCCTTGCACAAGAGTTTGTGACTAAACTGAGGCCGAAAGTGCCAAAGTATATGTATTTTCAGTTAATAAATTAAGATGCATGCTAATGTTTACATGCACACACAAATAGTCTAACAAATGAGACTCTAAAACTAGCGTACTTTTTATTTTCATGGTATAGAAAGAATGAATCAGTGATTCATTAGAGCGGATCTTTTCGGTCGTTTTTTCTGTCTGGGTGAAGCGGTGCCTGTGTGTTTCGTAATGCATCGGTTCTTTCGTAACACGGACATCTGTATTTTCCCTCAGGAATATTACAGTTGCACAACTCTAGCGGGTGAAATGAAGAATGTTTCTTCAGAAAAGCAAAGTGTGTTGAATCAGAGTGATGTATTTCTAGGGAAAAGAGAGGAAAGGCTCGAAGCACAATGCAGACGCTCCGAAAAGATCGTCTAAAGCGAGGAGCGTCACGCTGGAGGACGAGGACTGGAAGAAGGCGGCGCTAGTCAACGGATCCAATCTGACGCGCTCTGGAAGCGTTAAAGATCTCATATACAGGTTTGACGGGCCGCTGCCGAGCCTCGGCTCGCTGAAGATCAAAAGGCAAGACGTGAGCGCACGGGATTCTGGGAAAATGAGACATGAAAGCAGAGAGAGAGAGAAGAGCCAGAACCCAGTCTCTGGTGAACCGTCAGAACCGAAAACACAAGAAGCCTCTGAGCAGGAACGTCACGAAGCAGAGAAGAAGAGGGATGACGAGCAAAAGGCCCAGCGCAGTAAAGACAAGCCAGACGCTTCTGATCCCGGTCCGGTAAGTGGCCGAGGGCTCTCGTTTCGGACCCGTCTCGTCCCGTCGACCGCGCTGCTTCACTGTGAATCTCCTGACACGCATGAATCAGCCAATCACAGCCCTTTGATTTCTCACATGCTTGATCAGTCAGCCGACACTAACCAATCCAGCTGACTCCAGTCTGACAGTGTTTTGTCTGTGCATTAGCTGTGTTTACATTTATGCATCTTACAGTGCATTCATGTGTGTTCCCTGGGAATCGAGCCCACGACCTTTTGCGCTGCTAATGTAATGCTCTACCACTGAGCCACAGGAACATTGTGTTGCTGTGTTGTATTAGTATCATCGGGATACTAGTTTATATAGTTTACAGTAATATTTTGAATGGCTTTATGTTTTGCTTTTTTTTTTTATATTTACATTTAGTTCAAGTTTTAAGAATTTTGTTGTGCTTCTGTCATTATTATTATTATTTGCATAGTTTTTATTAATTTTGAAATCGGTTTTTGTTATTTTAGTGTATCAAGTTAAGCTAGATGTAAATGAGATGTTGCCTTGACAAATAACTATTTTTTATTTCGTTTTATTAATTTATTGTACTATTTTACTAAGGTTAACATCTATTTATATATAGTTTTCATATTTTTTTATCTGTTTTTGTATTTTGTTTCATTTTTATTTAATGTTTATTTATATTTTTCATTTTAAATTTAAAGTTTTAGTCATTTTGTTGTGTATTTTTTTCATCATCATCATTATTATTATTATTATTATTATAAATATATCTATATATTTTTTAATTAAGTTTTATGTTGTTTAGTTGTTTTAGTGGATCAAGTTAAACTAAATGAAAATGAGAAATATTGCCTTGGAAAATAAGTTTTTTGCATTTTATTATATTAAGTTTAGCATTCATTGATTCATTTATATTCATTTTTATTTTTATTTCAGAAGGGAGAGTGTACATTAAGAAAAAAAATGTAAAAATTTATTAAAAACAAATGAGAAAAATTTATTAATTAATTAATAAAAATTAATACAGGTAAAAAGCAAATACAGCTCAGTAAACTACAATTAAGTAGCACATACTGTATATAATACACTGAATTAATAAAATTATAAATATTGTTATAGGTGATAAAAAACAAGTAATGGCGATGATTTGACCTTGTGCATGATTTGTGTGCTTTAGATGTGCATGTGTGTCTCTGAGTGTTTGTAACACAACATGCATCTGATCTGCTGTAATAATCGGCGTTTGTGTTTTGATTTATGATTCAAACAGCAGCTCTGTCCGCACTCATTTATGACACTGAGCTTGATTTTCGATGTTTGCTTTTCTTACCCAGCATTCCAATCTAAATGGCGAGAAGCAGCACAGCAGTCCTCAGTCCGAGGACGAGCCCACGACCCCGAAAGTCCGTCCCAACCCCAAGTACCAGCTCTACCTGGGCTCCAACGGCACCAGCGGCTCCAACGGGGCCAACGGGACCCTGCTGAGGGTCAGTCCTGTGATCCGGGGGTCCATGGAGTCGCTGTCGTCCCGGGACGGGGACAGCATGTCCGACAGAGTGAGTGTGTGGCTGCTTATAGAAACCAGGATTAGTAGGCTATAGCTAACTAGAATTAATATTAGGGCTGTCAAAATAACTGAAAAACTTCGAATTGTGTACTTAAATATTAGCAAAATTCAAATTATATTAGAATTTGAAATGCATAATTTCAGTTAGGGTGAAGAAAAGCTTTTGGCTTCTCTCCTGAGGCCACAAGAGGGCGCATCGAGCAAAATATTACCATTCAAAGCATACGAGAACATGACTATCTGTGAAAAAAGTGCATAATGTTTAAAATAATGTTTATAAACCAATTATAATTAAGTTGCTTAAACAACTATAAACAAAACAGCATCATGTATGCATGCATAGTTTAATACAAAGGGCGGAAAGCCAATCACAC